TTTTATAAATTGTTACAGGAGGATTTAGCAGCAAGGGGATAATCTTAAAATAAAAAAAAGTACAAAGTGTCATGTACAAATAAACTTACCATCTAAGACCAAACTATTTTTAAACAATATTACTTAATTCTTAAGCTGAGGTAACTCAAATTGCTAAATTGCATTTGAAAAATAGTACTGTTCTACCCTCCCAGGTCTTTCTCTGCTCTGTACATTTCAGATCTGTCAGGAAAAGGATGGGCAAACAGCCATTTGAAAGGGTCAGTTGTGCTCAGTACACTATACTTAAGTGCACCTTGTTAAAGAATTTGGTCTGTTCTCTTGTTTTCTTTTGTCCAGCTGATGGTATCATGTTACTGGTTTGTGATCACTGTTTAAACATGGTTAGTAGCACTGTCTGCTGCGAGAACAGTGAGTGGGACAAAAATCACAGATTCTATAGAATTTCTTTTTCCTGTTTGTCAGAAGTTGCTGCAGAGAATCTCAGGAAAGCTGGAGCAATTCCAGACCTTCTGTCAATTTTAAGAAGTTTTCTTCATAACGAACAGATCTGCCTCTCTTGCTGTGGAGTTCTCTGGAGCTTGGCTGCGAGCGGTAAGTTAAACACAGCAAGTATTGTGCTCGTAGGACTGAAAGGCAGCAGGTATTGTGCCTAATTGCATTCAGACATTCCTGGGAGTGGGTTTTTTTTTCTCCCATTCTGGAGAGACATCTCCACAGCGCTACTAGAATAACTTCAAGTGGTCTGGAGTATAATGAGAGAAAACTAAAAACTAATGCAGACTTTTTAGAACCCTTTTTGTGATAAGGTGTCAAAGTCAAATCTTATGTGTTTAGGCCATGATGTAGCTTATGAAGACTGTCAGAAATCAAAGGGTGCACGCAGTTTCCGGTTTGCCAGTCATGTAGTTTTGCTCTGCTTCTAGCAGAGGGAGTGCAATGCAAACAGCATATTAGATTAGGTATCAGAATAGGATTTGGAATTAATAGCATCTTATTTCTTTGCATCACACTTCTCTTGGCAGCACTGGGGTAAATCGTGAGTTGGACATCTCCTAGAGACTTGCTTTTCCAAAAGAAATGTGATTGACGAGGTGCAAGTGTACTCTTCCCATTGCCTTAGAACTAAACCAGTGTCATCCTCACGGTGCTGGAGGGTCATGGGTGATGGCTTGACCCCTTCTCATGAGGCCATGCTGGGAGCTTTTTAGGGGTTTTGTTTCTGTGATGTGTTGTGATACAGGGGTGTGGTATTCTGATCATCAAGGCAGGCTGAAAGCACAGAATGCGCACAATTGCATTGGGTGTGTTTTATTCCTTCTGTGCAACAAACCACCCACTTGATTTATGTGACCAGCTAAATATCCATCCTGCAGACTGCATTCTGTCAAAAGGCTGGTTATTTTTGGAGGTATAATTTAAATGGCAAAAAAAATCTAGTTCCTGGAGAAGTTAAGCTTTCTGCGATAAATGTTACTATTCAGTAGTCCTGTAAAATGTGATTTGTTTTCATACATTATAGGTTTCTTCCCTCTGTCCGTACTAAAACAGTGTTGCATTACTCCACCTAGTTCCTGGAGAAGTTGAGCTTTCTGCGATAAACGTTACTATTCAGTAGTCCTGTAAAATGGGATTTGTTTTCATAGATTTTAGGTTTCTTCCCTCTGTCCATACTAAAATAGTGTTGCATTACTCCAAATACCATCACCCATTAAGGTTTTACTAATAGAATTTGATGATCTAGTTCCTGGAGAAGTTAAGCTTTCTGCGATAAATGTTACTATTCAGTAGTCCTGTAAAATGTGATTTGTTTTCATACATTATAGGTTTCTTCCCTCTGTCCGTACTAAAACAGTGTTGCATTACTCCAAATACCATCGCCCATTAAGGTTTTACTAATAGAATTTGATGTACAATGTGCTTATGCCATTACTTGATTAAATAACTGCTTGATGCCTTTCCTTTTTGTTACGGTAATCCAGAGAATAATGTGGACCCAGCAGTGCTGAAAAGCGATATTTTTACTTGATTAAATAACTGCTTGATGCCTTTCCTTTTTGTTATGGTAATCCAGAGAATAATGTGGACCCAGCAGTGCTGAAAAGTGCTGTCCCCGTTACCTCTGCGGTCCTTCAGGAGCACCTCCAGAACGGAGAAGTTGCAGAGTCTGCTTGCTCAGCCCTATGGGCACTGTCACTCCAAGGTGTGTTTTCCCAGTCTCCCTGTCCCTTCTGCACCTAGAAGACTCATATTCCAAACACGTCTGTCCGGAGGGGTGATCCCTGAGATAAAGGCTGCTGGGCCTTAGCAGGCTCTGCAGATGGCAGCAGAGTTAGGAATTTGCATCCTCTCTTATCCAGTCTTCCTTACGCTTGCTCTCTAACACTCCATAATGAAGCTATTTTTGACGAGCCACAGCAATTATATAACGAGACGCTGCTGATGGGTGCTGTAACGATGGGCAGCTACAAGATCCCTGTTGTGCAGAGCATTAGCTCTGGCTTATCTCTTTAAGACCAGGAATCCCATTTGTGTTACTCCGTTGAACGCAGCATTCGTGTTGTGCAGCCTGGGTTGGGAGGTTTGGTTTTATGCCACTTGCTTTGTAAATGGCGAACAATATTTCAGATTAAAAAAGAAAACATGTATCTCTTTCAATACCATGTGCACTAAGGAACACATCCTTGCAATACTACTCGCTTATTTCTTCCTCGTGCAAGAATATTGCCATGTGTTTACCTACTGCCCTGCCATTGTTCCACTGGAAAGAGTGGCATAAAACACCTTAAGCAATCTCATTTCTAGTACCCACCAGTAGAATAGGTTGAATATTCAGGACTCTCCATTCCTTTTGGCTTGGAGAATGAAAGGGAATCCTGACACAGTAAATATATCAGAAATTTCTCCTAGACCCCTGATCAACTCATGATAAGACTTTATTTGACCTTTTTTTAATGCAATGCAGGTTTTTGCATGCTTTCTTTATAACTTTTATTGCATAATTAAAAGTTGCTTCAGAAATAAGAGGCAGAAGTTGAAATGTAGATGAGTATTTTAACAGCTTTTTAGTATATTGAAGTTCTGGGGTCTTGTGTTGTGGTTTTTGTTTGTTTGGTTTTTTTTTTAAAGGTTGCTTAAGTGAAGATGATTATGAGCCCATAACAGCGCTTCTGCTGGATGCGCTCAGGATGAACCCATTTTTTGTTTGTTTGTTTTTAAAGGTTGTTTAAGTGAAAATGACTATGAGCCCATAACAGTGCTTCTGCTGGATGCGCTCAGGATGAACCCAGAAAGACCAGTGCTGGTGAAGAACACCTTCCTGGCATTAGCAAGCCTTCTAAGGCTATCTGGTAACATCCAGCAATTTTTTTTAATTAATTGCAAATGAGCTCAGAAGTGGATGTTTCTGTTTAGGTCAGGACTTTATAAGGGGATTGGGACTGACATCTGCTCTTCTGAGTTAATCTTTCTTCCAGGACTGGAAAAGGAATTAGTGAAACTGGGGGTGCATTTTTTTAGGTCAGGACTTTATAAGGGGATTGGGACTGACATCTGCTCTTCTGAGTTAATCTTTCTTCCAGGACTGGAAAAGGAATTAGTGAAACTGGGGGTGCATTTTTTTTCTTTTCATGGGCCCACCGTGTGTTATGAGAAGTACTAGATCAGCACAATCTCATCTATTAGCAACCTGAGTGTGTTTATTTTTTTTTTCTTTTCATGGGCCCACCGTGTGTTATGAGAAGTACTAGATCAGCACAATGTCATCTATTAGTAACCTGAGTGTGTCTGGGTACTTTATGATGAGGTTGTTTCAACTGTGTACTCATCTATTAGCAACCTGAGTGTGTTTTGGTACTTACTTTATGATGAGGTTGTTTCAACTGTGTAAAAAGGGTAAAGCTCAATCAATGTGAAAACAATAAATATTAAAATAGCACTTCTGCCATGCCTGACAGTGTCAGCTGCATATATGGTCTTCTACTTGGTGCCCAGATGTGCTTCAGAATAGCTTTTAGGAAGACTGAAAATAATGAGCATGACTTCCTGGAAAAATATTACACGTGTGCTAGCCTGGAGCAGGGGGTTGGAAAGCAGATAATGCAGTCTGCAGCTACCAATTAGGTCAGCAGGGTTTGTCTCCCTTTCAGAAATCCCAGCTTTGAGATTTATAATGGATCCAAAAGGCAATGGAATAAACCTGATCAAATATGCCTACCACCTTCACTTCGATCATCCGGAAGTGGTGGAAAATATCTGTATGCTGATTAATGAGATGCTTCAGTATGGTGAGATGATGGTGGTGTTTGTCAAGTCTCTTCCTCTCCCCCATCCCCAGAAGACAGTAAAAACCTAACAGCAGCTGCTCAGGGACGTGTTAGTTGCTCTCAGGAGACTCAATATGTACCTCAGAGGATGAATTGGAACTGAGAGTTCATCCCACTTCTTGAATAATTATAACCGCCTCTCTGATGTTGTAATTTTGTAACTTCATCTCATCTTGCCTTCTGTGTGTGTAGATCTGTCCCTTCCCTGCTCTCCTTCAGCTCCTGCTGAAACCATTGGTAGTTATAACCATAAATTATGCTGTTCATTTGCATTGCAGATGAAGTTGTGCTGGATATGCGGTTCCAGAAAATGGAAGAACTGCTGTCTGAAATAAAAAGCTCTTTTCCATCTCGCACGGTATGTAGAAGTCACTGTGATAATAAAGGGTGGATGCTTGGTTTGTTATTTTTGTTTATGGATTTTATCATTCTCAAATATCTGGAATTACATACTGCAGAAATTAACAGAATTACGTGTATGTGAGGTGAAGAGTGAGCTTGGAAGAATATTTCTAATTACTGGAAACAAGTAGATGGAAAGGTTTGTTTGTTTACACTTTATGCTGTAATTTTTAAAAACTATGTTCTGGTCTCTTGCGACATTGCATTGCATTAATTTACTACATTCTTCATACCAAAACAGGTTAAAGTTTATAGGAATAAAGCATAAATATATTACATCCAATTATTTTTGCTTTATAAGTGACATTCTTAGAAAAACACAAACCCAACAAACAAAACCCTTGTGACAGCTTGCCTGCCTGAAGACTTAACATATTAAATTCCAACAAGGATTCATACTGAAAAAAACACACATTTGAAACACCAGAAACAGCAAAGTTACTCAGGCTATTTAATGTGTTACACTAATACTGCAATGGCTTCCTGTCAAGAAACCATTAAATACAAGTTTTCTCATGAAACCAATAGAACTGGTTAATCTTATAGCTTTGCTCTTCAGTTTTGGTTTAGCCTCTGAAACCCATTCCTTGTTACCTTCCAGTAACCATTTAGATTATTTAAATCACAGCATTAGTATTCAGCCTGGTAATTACATTTGCTTTGGATTTTGAAGAACCAGACCCCACATCTGTTTAAAACACCACTGACTTTAAAGGCCTATGTTAGACACACCATTTTTATTAATAAAGGAATATAAAAATAAGTGAAGCAACAAGGTAATCTTGTATTTATTTGACAATTCTCATTTCTCTCCAGGAGATAATGACCCTTGTGGATGCAGCGCTTCTGAAACTGCAGGAGTAAAGAAAGTCTTCCTGTATAAGAATAAGACTCGTATGCTGCTGGTTCAGATATAAAAGCCTGGATCCCCCAGAAATATTTCAGTATTTTTCTCACCAGAAAGATTAATATTGGGCCATTAATACATATTCTGTTGATTTAGATACCGCAACTGTGAGACTAACAGCAACAATTTAAGAATGTGCCTTACTTTGTTGACTTGAAAATATCTGAAATAAAGATTTTAGTCTTGGGAGTTTCAGCAAAGCGATGACTATTTCTTCCTTCATCTGTATTAATTTAAAAACGCTTTTTCTTCAGTGTATGTGTCAAGTTGCAGAAATGGAACTGATGAAGTACCTCACAAATGCCAGGCATTTGTTAAGGTATTGTTTAAACACAGTAGCAGGCATTAGGCTTAGGTACCATCCAGAAAGGGGGGATGAGCAGTATTCTCGTAGCACTCATGTACCAGGTTAGGAATTACTGTCTTTTGATTGATTTTATGAAGTAGCTGCTGTCAGTTCTGGCTTCTCTGAATTTTCTCCTGGAATGTGACATGAAACCAGCAAATGCTGCTGATGAAAACCATTCAAGTTTTATGATTTTTGTTGTTAGGTTTGTTCTTAACAGCAGCTTCCCATTTCTTTTTCTCCAGGGTGTACAGTCTCATAGCTGCTTGTGCGTCCTGAATCTAAAAGAATAGAGCAAACAGGAGGCTTAATGAAACACAGCTGACATGGTTTTAGAACATTATTGTTGAGAAGCAGCTAAATCTGCTATCATTTTAATACATCCTTTCAATTAACTTTTCATAATCTCTAGATTTGAGTTCTGTGCCCTAGTGGAAGGGGATGAATGTGTACTCTGAGTGCATGAGCCACCAGCAGGCTATGCACTTCTCCTTCTGATTGTGACTAGGAATGCCATAATGAAAAAAACTCTTGATATGGTATCTTGGGGATACCCTTAGTATTTCCCCTGCTTCTTCAGCTCATTCCCCTGTTCGATCCCCCTGTCTGCCAAAAGAAAGGAGCTGCTCAGATTCAGGAGTAGGTGTTCACACTATTTCATCCAACCTGCCACAGTAGAACACTGCAAATGCTGCTTTTAAGGTAAGCAGTCAATACTTGAATTATTTTTTTTTTCCCCTGGGCATCTTAAAATAACAAGAATTAATATTTAAACAAAATACAGTTGACTTGTACAAAAGTAGCTTATGAAAATAAGGAAATAATCCAAGTGGTAGGAGACACGTAACAGTAAGCAAGTTTAGATGGCAGTCTTACTGCATGCTGGTGTCCAAGCAGGGCCTGCTACATTCACAGAAAGACCAGAATGAAGCCACAGCATTCTGGATTGAACCCAGATCCTGGGGCTGATGTGTCGTACCTCGTTATCTACCCAAAAATGTGTGTTCTGAGGAGATACATACCGAGCAGTGCTCTGATGTCTGCACTTGAACATTTAGCAGTTTCTCACAGAGCAGTTTCAATGATGGCCGTGTAGCCTAGAAATAAAAAAAATACAATCATGCTGTCTTGCACTACTTGGTGTGTGTATATATATGTATACATACAAAAAAAATATTGGTTTAAGTGTATTCCTCAATTAAGTGTAGCACATCTTGGCTTCTGCTGATGAACTGGCAAGAACACTTAATGAATTATGAGATTTATGCATGCACTGCTGAGAGGATTTTTTGTGCATTACCATAACACTAAAATTATTGTTAAACGTGCTTTGCTGTGAAAAAGACCACCTGAGTTATGAAACTTTAAATATCTCCCTATAATCTGAACCTTTACTCCTCTAGTCTAAGCAGAAACTTGAAGCCATCTGTCTTTACATCCCTATGGAAAAGACACCATTCAGATGATAAGCCTTACTGTGAGCAGAACTGTAACATCTTATTTGCTTATATTTCCTGTCAGTCCCTTACCTTGACTCTCTGTCTGAAAGGCTTGTATCTTTGCGTGTCACGTATTTTCTTCTTAGGGTGATCAAGAAATAGGACCTAGAAGAGATTACAGTTCCAGTCTAAAGTGTGCTGTTGCATGAAACTTCATGCAGCTGAATGTACAGCTTCTTGATGTTTCCTCCCATCTGTTTTAAGAGAGAGTTCAAAACCACAAATGGACCAGACCAAGAGCCACAAAGTTCTACTTTGTGTCAGAAACAGAAATGAATCTGGAGGCACCACCTGTGGAGACTCCCTGCAGCGCTGGTACAGCATGACATGGCACCTGGCTCTGGAAAGGATGAGCAGACTGAGCTCTGGGGACTAATCAAAATGTGCAAACAGGGTTTTTTCATCATTCTGTTCATTTCCTGGCTCTTCAGTAGGAGCTCAGTGCTATTAGCAACCGCATTTAGAAGTGCAAGAACTTAAGTTGGTAAGTGACTAGGGCTACACTTGGTGCACCACGAAATGACAAGAAACTGAAGTAACAGTGACAAAGCTGTCATTTCTAGGAGTTCAGAGAGATGTATTAGAAATGTAAACAATCTTAAATTTTTGGAGCCTGGTCTTCAAAATAACAAATCTGCAGCCACCTACCTTTAGATCATTGCGTAAAGCGTGTCCAACCAAAATCCTTCCATTCAAGATTTCAGCAACCTCCTTCTGAACTGTTTTAAAATCTTCACCTTAAAATACCACAGGAGGAAACATTTTGCATTAGACATGTAAGGCAACTAAGCAACCTACAGTTATAACTGTATTTTTTTTTGTGAAAGCGATTGTATCCTTGGGACTGCAGTTGCATAAATTTGTAGAGTACATTAAATCCTCCGCTTGTTACAAAAGCACAGCACTAGGAGGAAATATCCTTCCTATTATTCCCATACCATAATCCACAAGTTAATTTCTCCACGGTATTAGTGACCACTATGTAAAAAGTACTTCTTCCCATAATTTTTATTACGTTTTAAAACTACATTTTGTTTTCCATTTCCCCAAACAAATCTAAACTTATCCAAGCTCAGCCAACGAGGCTTCTGTGATAGCCTGTTAAATTCTCCCTCCTTAAAGAACATTTTTTGGAGAAAAAAAACCCTTCCTACCTTTACTTATATTCTCAGGGCGTATGCCACTAACAGCTGTTCTGTAATCGGTCACCTCCTCTGTGGGCTTGACATATTTGTCATAAATGCACTTTCCAAACTGGTTGACGAGGGAGACGCGAGCCACAATGCTGTCTTCCCCCTTGGGTCCCACTCCCACCATCTCGCAGTCCATGGCGACAGCCCGTGTCAGCCTGAAAGAGAAAGGACAGTTTGGTGACACCCCTGCTCCAGGGAGAGTTCACCAGGTTCACATGTCAATGCGAACCAGGGGGAACTCAGCAGTTTGTCTGTCAGCAGACCCAGGGAGATGTCAGCTTACGCCGTGCACCTGCAAATCACAGTTATTAGAAGATAATCTCGCTGCCATCCTTGCTGCTGGAATGTCACTCACCCTTCGGAAGCCTTTTCTTTAACCAGCACCTGCTCCACAGACAGTTTGGATGGGCCTGTTTCAAGTCCGAGATTTCTTCTGGCAATTTTTGATGCTTCGGGTCCTATTGCTGCTTCAATATCTTTTGGATCGACGTCATCAAACCAGATTTCAGCCCTGGTAAGTACAGATTTAATTACATTTAATGGTCTTAAAGCGGTCTTTAATCTTTATAGTGTAGGAAAAGCTTATTTGTTTTTTAAACTAAGAAATTAGCTCTGTGAAAATGGGTCTGGTGCTGTCACCTATGCAAGTCTGTTGCTATCTCCGAGGACCAGTGGCAGCATGCATCTTATTTCACCCAAAATTTAGTCTGGCAGAGCGCAGCTGTTTTGAAAGTAGAGCTCTGTGCTTCTCAGATACACCTCTGAAAAGAAATACTCAGGCACATGTACGATGCCTGAAGCACTCACTCTTTGGGCTGCTGCTCCGCATGCTCTTCAGCTTTCCTCCTCTTATGTAAAAAAAAAAAAAAAGAAGGGAAAGAAGGATTATCTCCCTCTGATTCTGGAGGTCCTGAGGGCTCCTGGTGTTCTGTCTCTGTGGTAAATGGCCCTGGGCTCTCTCGCTGGCTCTAGGGATACTACCTGCAACATCCCAGCTCCCTGCCCACAGCACTTTATTTATTGATGCAAGCACCTTCCTGATGAGGAAAGGCTGAGAGAGCTGGGACTCTTTATCCTGGAGAAGAGAAGGCTGAGGGGAAACTTATCAATGCTGACAAGGATCTAAAGGGTGGGTTGAGGGAGGATGGAGCTGGACTCTTTTCAGTGGTTCCCAGTGACAGGACGAGGGGCAACGGGCACAAGCTGGAACATGGGAAGTTCCACTCCAATCTGAAGAAGAACTTCTTTGGGGTGAGGGTGGCATGTCTCTGTGGTAAATGGCCCTGGGGTCTCTCGCTGGCTCTAGGGATACTACCTGCAACATCCCAGCTCCCTGCCCGCAGCACTTTATTTATTGATGCAAGCACCTCCCTGATGAGGAAAGGCTGAGAGAGCTGGGGCTCTTTATCCTGGAGAAGAGAAGGCTGAGGGGAAACTTATCAATGCTGACAAGGATCTAAAAGGTGGGTTGAGGGAGGATGGAGCTGGACTCTTTTCAGTGGTTCCCAGTGACAGGACGAGGGGCAACGGGCACAAGCTGGAACATGGGAAGTTCCACTCCAATCTGAAGAAGAACTTCTTTGGGGTGAGGGTGGCAGAGCCCTGGCAGAGGCTGCCCAGGGAGGGTGTGGAGTCCCCTTCTCTGGAGATCTTCAAGCCCCACCTGGATGCTCCTGAGTGATGTGCTCTGGGCAGCCCTGCTTTGGCAGTGGAGTTGGACTGGATGATCTCTAGAAGGTCCCTTCCAACTCTGACAATTCCGTGAAAGCTTATTATTGTTTAAAAAATTACTGCCTACGCCATGGGCCGGCATTTGGGCAGCGGCGGCGTGACCGCGGCCCTCCCCGGCCTCCATCCCGGCCCGGACCCCCCCCCC